TGTAATATATCAAAATTGTCGTCAAAAATGTGTTTTTCTGTGTTTAAGTGTGTAGCATAATTAGAATCTAGACTATTGTTTTTAAATGCTCTTTTATGTTCGTTAATGCGTTTCTTGAAGGATCTACCTGTTTGTCCAATATAAATTTTAGGACAAGATCCACATTTCAACCTGTAGACTCCTAATTTTTGGGATTTTGGACATTTCGATTTATTGTTTTTTAAATATTTTCCTATTGTGTTGTTAGTTCTGAAAGCTATTTTTAAACCACATTTTGACACATGTTTTGAAACTTTTTCGCTAGGTTCTCCTATGTATGTAATTGTTTTAAATTGTTCGTGTTCTGTATTTAGTTTCAGATAAATAGAGTTTACTGTTGTCTGTATTTGTTTTTTATTTATAATTTTATCTATAACGGACGGATTGTAGCCGTTGTTCAGTGCTATTAATTAATTAATTAATGATATTAAGTTCTTTGTTGTAATTTTCTGTTGAGAGTGGCGTATTAAGAAGTCTGTGTATAAAAGAGTTAAATGCACCCATTTTGTGTGTGTAGAAGGGTGATTTGAGCTGTTAAGTATGACTGTGTCCGTGTGTGAAGGTTTATGATATATTGAAAAATCTAATTTGTTTTGCACTTTCGCAATAGTTAAGTCTAAAAAATTAATAGAGTTATCCTGTTCAATCTCGATAGTGAATTTTATACGATTATGTATTGAGTTTACTTTTACTTAAAGGATGTTCTAGTATGATATTTTCCAAATTATCGATAAAAATCTCGGCTAACAAAGGACTAAGTGGGTTTCCCATAATCAAACCTTCTTTAGAGATATAAATCTGCCCATTAAATTCAAAATAATTTTGCTCTAAAGATACTATTAAGCAATCTTAAATTGCTTAATTTTTTATACTTAACTATTACGAAAGTGCAAAACAAATTAGATTTTTCAATATATCATAAACCTTCATACACGGACACAGTCATACATAACAGCTCAAATCACCCTTATACACACAAAATGGCTGCATTTAACTCTTTTATACACAGACTTCTTAATACGCCACTCTCAACAGAAAATTAAAACAAAGAACTTAATATCATTAAACAAATAGCACTGAACAACGGCTACAATTCGTCCGTTATAGATAAAATTATAAATAAAAAACAAATACAGACAACAGTAAACTCTATTTATCTGAAACCAAATACAGAACACGAACAATTTAAAACAATTACATACATAGGAGAACCTAGCGAAAAAGTTTCAAAATATGTGTCAAAATGTGGTTTAAAAATAGCTTTCAGAACTAACAACACAATAGGAAAATATTTAAAAAACAATAAATCGAAATGTCCAAAATCCCAAAAATCAGGAGTCTACAGGTTGAAATGTGGATCTTGTCCTAAAATTTATATATATATATATATATATATATATATATATATATATATATATATATATATATATATATATATAATTTCGTGAAAATCTGAACTTTTAGGTCTTATTTATTTTGATTATTATTTATTAGAAACTTGTTTGAGAGTAACTGTAGATCATAGCTATAGCTAATTCTTATTTCTGACTATCGAATGTTTTTTCTTAGAATTGAACTTTTGCCTTGAGTTAATATAGAAATAAATAATAATAACAATAATAATAAACACATTTGAAAATTGAAATATTAGATAAGAGTTGATTAAGAAACACCCTAAATTATTGTTTTCTGGCGAGTGGCTGTGTTTAATGGCGATGCACAAATACTTGCAAGCCTTGAATTATTTCCAAACCGCCAAAACTTATACGTCAAGTATCAGAGTCGTTATATGAATATGTAATGTAAATTCGGTTCGAATGAACAAAAAGATTGTAAAACGTTAATGTGAATTAACTGAAAATGCTTTTTTTAAAACATCCGTAAATTACGTGTGTCCATTATTAATTTCGTATAAAAAATCAGAATAATTGAATATCTTCCTAATATTAAAATAATTGTTTCACATTATAATAAAATTAGGATAGTGTAGTAAGGTAAATGCTCTGACAGAAATATGTTGGATATATTGTGGTATTTTGGAGCAATAATTTTGTTGCAAATTATAGGGGTATATGTGAGTATATTTTAATAGTTGCATTACTTTGTAATAAAATTTTTTAGGATCATATTTGATTTGGAGTTACATAACTACATATTCTGCCTTTATTAAGCTAGTCAAAAATGCTACCAAGGATTTTCAGCATTTTATATTCTAAAATTTTTCAAAAAGTGTAACCACAAATGATAAAAATGTCATATTAAAAATTTCAGTCCATCATTACCAAATTTCTTTTGCCAACATTATCTTATAAACATCCACCTTTAGTCTAGATTTCAAAAAAGTTGACAATAAAAGTCTGCCCATAAATTACTTTTTTGAGCCTTCATCAAATTATTTTCATTGAAGCAATTACTTATCATTTTCTGTAGCTGCAGGCAACAGCATGCAAACTCTTCAGGCAACTTTGATGTGTTGATCTTAATTGTAATTATCTCGGCCTCGAATAGTCATTCGAATCTATTAGCAGTAATAATTAAAGCGTTTTCATGCATTTATAATTTGAAAACATTTTTAAAAATCCATCAAAACAGTGCTTTGCGAATTAAAATAAATGCTTAAAAGGGAAACGAACCAGAATGGCTTTATATATATTTGCAACCCCTTGCCGAGCAGGGATTAATTAAAAAAGGGCCATTAACCTTTTTAAATTAGCAGCATGGTTCTTTCGCTATAATAAATTCAAAACTAATAAATTATCCCTCATCAGCTACATTAAGCAGAAATAAACCTAAAAAGGATTTTAAAAGTTCATTCGAAATAATTAAATATTTAGTAAAGGCAAAAATTGTTTGTTCGTTATACTTCCTTGTTTCTCCCTTCTCGATTAGATACTTTCCACTTCAAGAGGATACCAACTTAATTGATTTTAACGCAGCTTAAATTGTTTTTAAGAAAAACTTCCATTAGAGTGCAAAAAATAAAATAAAAAGGCTGATTAATGTTTTGACGGTTTCGAACCTAAAATGTTAATAAATTAAAATAATGCAAATCGAAATTTCAAAAATTATTAAACATGCAAAATTTTGCACATACCTTTATCACACTCCCACAAAGTTTTAAATTTTCTTAAGTTTTAAGTGCAAACCCGTTTTTGGGTACGCTATTGGCCTTTATTAATACAGGGTACCAGTCATTGGGTAATTTTAAGAAGAAAAGTTGTTATCAACATATGTTATGAACCTGTCGTCAATTATGAAAAAAAAACATTTTTTTCTACTCTTATACACCGATCTAGTGAACGTTTCGTGTCTCATACTAACGAGGCACTTCGGACAGTTCCGTTATCTTACGGCATAGGTTTGGGAGGAATCGGATGTTTTCGGAGATTTTACCGCATAGCTTGAATTTTGGCATTTGTCCATCCGGACGATCATGTCAGAGAATGTATTCGTGTTGTTTTGCAAAAATGTATCAAAAAACTATAGGTAGTAGAAAAAGTGTAGTATGCAACAAGTTAAGGTTTTCTCTATCACATAATTAACACGTTTGGTAAACTTTTTTAATCTCTTTTATTAAACACTCGCTTCTCTCGTGATTTAAATGCCGTTTACTGCACTTGTTGCCTAATGTACTATTTTATCTACTACCTAATCCCAACCATATATAAAAAGTTGTATCAGTGATATTTCGGTTTTTATCTTAAACGCGAAAATGATCATTCCTACAAAAGTAAGTTTAATGGATCAAAGTTACTTTAACAATGGCGTTACCCAAAAATCATTTTTATTTTTTAGAGATAGCGGTGGCTCACCAATTGTTTTGTATAAAAATATTCAGTTGAAATCCTGTAGTTCTGTCACTATATAAATCACCAAATAAAAAAAATTACTTAAAAACATTTTGCTTAATGAGGTGTATAAAATTCCATATAAATTTTTACAAGGGTAGGGAAATTATGATGAAATAGAAGTTTTTTTCTAAAAACATTAACAAGTCAAAAATCACAAAATTTAAGAGGTATGCTGATTTTTACTTATCTTATTAAAACCACCCAGAACATCCTTAATCCTTCTTCTTCTTCTACTTAGGTCGCCGTCTTTCTCCGCAGTTTGGCGATCCAACTGGCTATAATGGTGTACACCTCTAAATATTTCTAGAGGTCCTTCCCAACCATCGACGCAGATCTTTGAGCCCAGAGCTCGGCTTTCTTCACACAGATCTTTTGCCCTCAATTTTTCTTTCGATGACAAGTCATTACGTTTCTTATATACTTGAGCTTTCGTTCTTTGATGGTCGTCATAAGTTCTTTCTTATCTATTCACCTGCGTACCTACTCATTAGTTATGAGGATGAGGACTATAATGTTTTTAAAAGTAGTAATGTATAACACTGCATTTTTATTTGTAAAATTGAGAGCTCCAGTAGTTACAATCCATTACAGCGCAATACAAAGTAATCATCTGATAAACAAAATTACTATACTTAAGTACTTGGAAAACAATTTAAATGAGTTATTAAAAAAGGAACAATATATAATAGACTAACAATTCCCAAAACTCGGAAAAGCAAAAGCAACTAGTGAGTTAAATAGCATATGAATGTAAAAAAATTTGGATAAATATTTAAACATTGCATTGAAAATCGTCTCGGTTAAATAGAATTTAGTTGCGTTTTTGAGTGACTGTAAGTCGATTTCAGAAAAAATGACCTGCACTCAAAGGTTTCGCGAGATAAATTGCTACGGACAAAAACTTAACGTAATGTGACTTCTTTGAGTTCTGTAGCAGAACTTCGTATTAACTTTACAGTCTGTGATTGATTTCCTCGGTATCAAATACGCGGTCGAAACTCCGGGGAAGCAAAGCGAAGACGCGAAAGAGCCTTTAAATATTCGAATTCAAGTGTGGCCAACATTTTATAATACTTACTCAACAAATACCAATTTTAGATTATTTTTTAGGAAACATTTCAAATCAAAAATGAATATTTGCGAGTAATTGGAGGAAACACAACTTGCGATTACATGATCCTTACTCATGTTAGTTTTTTCAGAGAGAAAGGAAGTGACGTTACTATGTCATTAAATTTTACTCTGTTTGAGGAAATAAATTTAGAAAACGATATAGAGGTAATGTTAGAGAGCACAATTAAAAAATATGGCATATTATGAATATGAAACCGATATTTTTAAGATTCGAAGTCAATTTTACAGTTGGAAATCAAACGAATATAGAAAGACTCCTATAAGCTGGACCATGAAAGCATGCAACATTCTTCGATCACACATATTTAGTGTTGAAACCATAATGAAAAATTCCGATATAAGAAGCTGTCCAATAAAAAAGGTAAGGCAGATGGTCATAATATCATCGTTTCAACAGTTATTTTAGGGTAAACATTATATGCACAACATAACAATGGACGGTGTGAATTGGCCCAGCACTTTCCCCGAAGGCCGATGGAAAAACCATTTAGAGTATTGGATAAAAAATAAGTGTTGCGTTAAGGTGAACTGGATGTTTCGAATTGACAAACATTGATGATCGTATCGGTAACAAATTATCCCACAACAATAACTTAACTATTGATTGAAAAACATATTTAAGAAAAAATTAAATATCACTTTGAAATTCAATGATGTTGTTATTTTTTAAAATATCGTTTCATGAGTTTTGGACCTGCAATTTTGTAAACATGTGCCAAACAAATTCGAGTCCTGTCAAAGATTAAACACAAGATTTCAACACTCTGAGGTTTTATGAAAAAAAAAACACTTGGACCTAGGCCTGAAACTACAAAATAAACAATTTCGAAGACTCTGGTAAACTATTATTTTTTTGGGTGCGAAATATTTGAGACAGACATTTGAAATTTTCATTATGTTTAATTTTCTCAAATCATTTAGCAAGGCATCCATACCCTGCTTGAAGTATAAATTGAAATATTGTTTCACATACACAAGATTTTCAAGGTGTCATTTCTGTGACTTCGCTATGTGGAGGCCTTGTTTCGTCATAGTTCACGTCACGTCAGATAATTATAGAAAAAAAAATTAAATTCGCTGTCGTAGAATTAGAGTTTACTACTTTATTCATCAATTCAAAACCACAGCGGAATAAGCTTTGATAATGTTAAGACACACGGGTAATTTTAAAACACTGTAATTGTCATTGACGTTTCGACCGGCAACTCAGGTCTTTCTCAAAAACTGCAAAAACAAAGGACAGAAAAGCGCGATCATACGAAGAATTAGTTCGCTATCAAAAAGTAAAACGTACACTACGTATTTTAAAACAGTAGACATATATGAATTTAAAAATTACAAAATATTACAAGAACAAATTACATATATTAGCCATACTCACCAATTAATTGATTTTTTCAAAATGTCTATTATTAGCGTTGTTTGTAGAATAGTACCATAACATGCATCATTGAAAAAACCGATAACGTTCTTGCTTTGGTGTACGAATCAAAAATAGAAGTGGAAAACAAACATTCATTGTATCTGATGTTTTTTTTTCTCCTCTTAGTTTTTATTTATTTATTTTTTTTAGAGTGTGCTTTGTATTAAGTTTAAATTAATAATTAAAATTAATTAATAATTTATATATATATATATATATATATATATATATATATATATATATATATATATATATATATATATATATATATATATATATATATATATATATATATATATATATATATATATATATATATATATATATATATATATATATATATATATATATATATATATACAATTCAAAAACACAAAAAATTAAGTGCTGTAGGATATATGTATATTTTAACTTTTCCTCTTAATACCACCCATAAGCTTCACAACCTTAATTACCAGCGCTCATTCAGGATATATATGGGAACTCCTATAGTCGCCAGCAATTTTGGTTCTGTATGTATTTTTTTATTGGTAAATCTATTCAGTACACTGGAAAGCAACATGGTCAAGCGAAATTTACTACTGAAGTGCAAAGAAGACAATTTAAACTAGCTTGTAAAAACGGAACAAAGTATAATAACCTAACAATTCCCGCAACTCTGCATAGCAAAAACAAATTGTGGGCAACATAAGCTAAACAGGAACCATATGAATGTAAAAGCCATTTAAAATAATTTATCCAATCTTTTCATACCCACGCATTTTTGAAAAAAATATCTAATTATTTTAATCTTTTTTCGAATCACTGAGTAGATTTAGTTTCTCGAATCTTTACCTAACCTTTTTGATATATATTTATATGTACATACTTTTCACATTTTTATAAATAAGTGTTGTTATAAATTACAGCATTTTCTGCAATATAAATAAGACATAAATCCTATTTTATGAGATTATGATCTTCTCATCACATTTTTTGTTAAATAGGCACAATTTACTTGTGTTCTGGGTGAAGTTTTAGTTTCATTTCTGCTTTTTATATGCATTATTTTAAATAAATTTTATATTTGGACATAAATTACTTTTTAGGGATATTAACGTTGTTGACGCAGACTTAATTTTTTTGGTAATATACTTTTCCTTCTCTCTTTGGACGATATGTCAATTGAGTTAAAAACACGTTTATTATTACAGGTAATTTTTTATTATTTTTTATATCGATTGTTACAAAGTAATCATTTTTGAAAAAAGTTACTAAAAAAAATTAAATCTATTGATTTTTTGAGGTCAACTGACGCTTCAATGGGTTACACAAAATGAAAACCGCTATGATCCCAACGAAATCGTGGTAAAATCCTGAACATTTTCCTTTAAAAAACAAATATTGGCAACGAAATTTACGAACTTTTTAGATATGCGTTTGTTGGAGATAGACATGCAAGCAATAAATGAAAAATGAGCGTCGATGTCAATTGCCCTTTTAACACGTATTCCACTTTGTTCGTACTCATGTGAACGCTGCGTCGCAAAAAACCTCTTTTACTTGTATTAATAACGGGGTTATCGAATCAAGTCTTTCGATTGCTTTATTGATTGCTTCCGCTTTACTAGCGGTCGAGCAGCGTTTTTGATTAATTCCTTCACGGGCCAGCCATATCAATAAATAAGTAACATGAAAAAGTCATCGTTGATTTTGTGAAGAAAGCTTTTTTTCTTTAAAATTTTATTATTTGCTTTTTTTTTGTGTAATGTATATCAAAGTCAGCAAGAATTATTTTTATTTTTAGAAATAAAAACATCAATATTTTTCCCATCTTAAAGGATAATTCAGGGCATGTACACAAACGTCCACTAGCGATGCGTTTTCGTGTCATAATATTTCTTTACATTTTTATTGACTTTATATTAGAACTATTTTGAATAGGTAACATACATTTATACTTTTCTATGTATACAAATCCCTAACTTTTTAAAAATATTTATTAATAAAACAAATTAGCAAAGTCTAAATAATTCCAAATCTAAATGTAAATGTAGGATATTTGATTTCTTATTGCTGATTAACCCTGTATTTTCATATGTTGTTGAAAAACCATAGTGCCTTCAACACAAAAAATCAATCGATTAAGTAAATTTTTCGAAGAAACTTCCACAGGCTACTGTAATAGTTTTTAGAAAACTTCTGGATTCCTCCTGAGTCGGTTTTTAATTTGCAAAATAATATTGTCACGGACTTGTGCACTGTTGACACCCTGTATATACATATATTTTAGCAATTAAAGCCATCGTTTAAGATACTGTGCTGTTAAAAACATTTTTTGATTTAGGAAAAAAAATAGAACTTGTCTAAAAGAATAGGACTGATATGTCAAGTACCTTTTCTGTAAATAGCACCTTTTTCATCATCGCCACTTAAAAAAAGATATAATTTTCCTAGCAATTAAATTCGAAATTAACAACGACACTGAATAACTGAATATATTATCGTTTCCCTTCGGAGCAATAAAAGCAGAGCTTGCAAAATGGAATTCATCGAAGCAAATGGCAGCTCGTATAGCTCGCGGAAGATGTCTGTTTAAAATTTATGTTTACTCCGAACAGAAACTTTAGCAAGTCATACGGAAACTTGCAGCGTAAATTATGTTGTATTTTCCTAGAAGGTGCTGATATTTGCGGTTCACGTAAATCGCGATGTTGCTCAGATGTATATCACTTGCACCCGATGACATTCGTTTTCCTAAAATTAGGTTGCACCCCTATGAAATGCACATATTTCAAATCATCTCAGAATTATTATATGCATTTCATAAAAAAATACATATTATTATAAATTACAATTATATTCACACCTGTTTTTGGAAACAAATTAGTCAAATCTATTTTAACACAAATTACAAAACTGGCTCAACCACTGTTTTGTACATAGGGCATCAACACCTTCATATCATTACTGACCTTATTAGTGACAAGTTTAAACTTTTGCTTGTGTCATTTAGAGTCTAGCATAGTATGTACCAAAATAGACTAGAAGACTTACGAAGCCGATTTACCTTAGAATTAGAAGGAAACTTTTTATTCAAAGTTGTTAAAAAGAATACAATAAAATATTGCATCACCACCTTTACGATTTCGATTTCCCGTAAAATATTCTATTCTCCCCTTGGGCATGAGTTGGTCTTGAATAGTTTAATTTTCTTCAATCACACTTCAATTTAGACTCGAAGATGGACATGTCTTTCTTAATTTCTCTTTTAATATTTCCAAAACTTTTGGATTTCTCCTGCGTTGGTTGTTGTTGAGTTAAACTTGCAAAAGTTTGACAATCATTCTGTTCGTTTCTTCAGGGCTTAACTGAAACTGGCTTCTCTTTTTGTTTTCGTTTTTTTGTCCTCTATATATCATATGCGCGCAATGCACTTATAATTTTAATCAGAATTTCAAATATTCTTTTTTATTTTTTATTTTTTCATTTAAAGATTGTATTTAGATGACTAAATCAATAATAAATACACCAGTTCCAAAAAAGTTGAAGGTACCTTATAAGGAGTGTTTTTTTTCGATGTATAGAATTTTAAGTTGCAATAAAACAACGATGGATAATTCAATTGACATGAATTTTATTTATCCGAAAGATAATCTTGTGGCATTACATTTTAAATATGATTTCTGGCATATGACCGCCACGGCTGGCGCGGATGTAGTCCAATCTGGACGTCCAAATTTCGATGACTTTTTCGAAAATTTGTGGCCATATATCGGCAATAACACGGCGAATGTTGTCTTGCAAATGGTTAAGGGTTTGTGGCTTATCTGCATAGACCAATGACTTTACATAGCCCCACAGAAAGTAGTCTAGCGGTGTTAAATCACAAGATCTTAGAAACCAATTCACAGGTCCAAAACGTGAAATTAGGCGGTCATCAAACGTGTCTTTCAATAAATCGATTGTGGCACGAGCTGTGTGACATGTTGCGCCGTCTTGTTGAAAGCACATCTAATGGACATCATGGTACTTCAATTCAGGAATGAAAGAGTTAGTAATCATAGCTCTATACCGATCACCATTGACTGTAACGTTCTGCCCATCATCGTTTTTGAAGAAGGACGGACCAATGATTCCACCAGTCCATAAAGCGCACAAAACAGTCGGTTTTTCTGGATGTAAC